CCCTTCCCTTTCAATGTCCCATCCAGGAAGTTGGAGGTGTAGAACTGAACCCCAGGCTGTGTAGTGCTCACCTCCAGGACACGGCCCGTCCCAGGATGCACCACTCTACAGAGACCAACATGTGTGCTAATATTAAGATGCATAAAGTGTTATATCATTAAGTCAATATTCCAATACAAATGAAACGTTACCGAGCACATTTTCTCTCCAGTGGCGGTTCCCCAGGTGAGCACAGACAGAAGTTGTGATCAAACCCTGGACCAGGCAGCTCTTTCAATCTAGAGCCAAGAAGAACAGGCTTTCTCAGGTCGAATAGGGTCTTCTCCACCGATTTCACCTCCCCTGTACATAGTAAAGAAACCACACAAAACCACGTTTGACAGTTTCTGTTCTGGAGAGTTGTAAAGATCTAAATTCTAAAAAGGTCTAATTCTCTAAAATAAACAATGTGATCACAATACCTGTGGGGATCATTGTATCATCCACAGGCAGGTACGACTCCGCTGAGATGGTCACCTCATGGTCGTAAATGTCTGGTGTTCCCTGCAGAACGTGGGACATTGAATAGCATTTATTGATAGTAGGAATACACCAACTTTGTCCACAAAAGACAATGATTAAAATCTTAAATATAGCCACCAAGGGTCCTATATACGTTCATAACAAATCACACTGTATTATAGAAGTATTATTGTATTATTATTATTGTTGTGTATTATTAATTAATTTTTTATTAATTTACAATTTTTTATTAATAGTGTATTATTAATACACTGTATTATTATTATAGAAGATGATAGTGGTGAACAAATAAAGCAATGAATGAAGCGGACGCGGAAAAGAGTCCAACTTGGCATGTCAATCTTGCAAATGGAGCTTGAGGTAAGTAGTTTTATGTTTTAGTGCCATGTCGCGTTGATCAATACACAATATCATGTTGCATTTTTATTGGCTAGTCAGTAGACAGGTTGTAGCAGCAAACACAGTGAGATGATTGTGCTAAATTTCTGACACTTTTAGAAAAGTATCTGGCTGTCTTTGAACCTCTCTTACTTTACGATGGTGGACCACCATTTAGGAGCCACGACCAGAGAAATTTCCACGAATGATCATGTTTTATCTGGAACAGCCTGAAATCGGACTATTTGTACCAGGGAGTAAAATTGGAATGAAACAAAAATTGCCCCTATTTACTTTGTTAGAGCACTTTACTAGTTTTGTGGCGAACAATAAACCTGTGCAAGTTAATGTACAAAAGAAGTTTTTCTTTGTAATCTTTGGTCAAAAATTCCCTTTCTTTTCTGGTGACACGCGGTACATCCTTAATCAGTCCCTCCAACTGTCTGCTGCCAGCTAGAAATGGCAATGAAGTGCGTTAAATTTCGAATAAAGTCGATCGCATTCGCAACTTCTAATTCACACAGACTTTAGTCATGAAGTGTAAGACGTAAGACGAGGAGTGGAATCTCTGAGATGTGGCCCTACTTGTCCAGCCAGGTTGAAGTATGAATGGTTGGTGAGGTTGATTGGTGTAGTATGGTCAGTCTGTGCGTGGTACAGCACACTCAGTGTGTTCTTCTCCAGTGTGTAGGTGACACAAGCGTTTAGGTTCCCAGGGTAACCCTCATCACCACCTGGACTACTGTGACGCAGTTTCACTCCGTTATCCACAGCCTCTGTGGTCCACACGGCCTACAACACACAAATGTCCTTAAAGAAATGCCAGATGCAACGATGTCTGCTAACTTGCGTGAAAGAAATGACAAATAACATATAATGGGACAAAAGGGACAGACATTTTTGTGCGTTTGTTAACCTTGTCAAAGCCCTTCAGTCCTCCATGCAGAGCATTGGGTCCATTGTTTATAGGCAGTTTATATTCCTTCTCATCTATCACAAACCGGCCCTTGGCAATGCGGTTTGCAACCCGGCCTACCACAGCTCCAAAGTAGCGAGAGTTTGAGAGATAACCTAGAGTAAAATAAAGGAAATTTATCATTATTTTCATTCAGTATCTCTAGTTATGTCAACAAGGCTGATTAATACACACATTTGGTTATTCTGAGATCATCTGCATTTAACTATGCCTGCATGGCTGATTAAAGCAATGTTTCTCAACCTTTTTGACTTATATAGTTGAGCATGAGCAGGACATTATAAAATAATAATTATTTTGTGGTCCATAAAAGACAGAAGGGCATTCAGCATCAGAACAACACCAGGGTGAGTAAATTATGACTTCTTTTAATTTTAGGGTGAACTATCTCTTTAAGGGTTCTTTTACCAATGAATTTGCATCATTGCATGACTTTTGTGTTCATTTACTGGATATATTTATCTACCTAATAAAATATTTTAGAGCTCGGCATTGCTAGAAAAATGTATAATCTACATAAAAATGGCCATGCCATTATAAAGAAATATCTTGAATTCAGGTCATTTATTCTCCATTTATTCAGCAACAATGTTGATATTAAAGAACCATTATTGTGTCTTAATGTGTTCTCTGTAGAGAGAGGATACATCTGGCAGGAATAAGCAAATAAATTGTTAAAACAGGTCAAGAAATTATTTTAAGATTTCTCTATTTAACATGTAAGTCAGAATACCTGTCATGCACAATAATGAAACGCTCTCATTAACTGAATGCTAGCACTTGCCTTCTAAATCATCGTATCCTAACACTATATCCGCACTTTGACCGCTGCGATCTTCTGTTGTAATGGACTTTATCACACAGCCCAGAGAGATGATCTCCACACACACACTGGCGGACCGCAGGGTCCATTTCTCCACTGGACCCACTGCAGTGCCGAACTCCTCTTTACACACCTCGGTCATTATGAAAAATCCAGTTTGCTCTAGACGGGATTTACAAATCCAACAATGCAAAGAAAGTTACAACACGGCAGTACAAATGACTACACTTGGAGTTAATAAACTACAGTGTACCGCCCACTAGTCTAGTGATCAACGCTTTCGAAATATGCTTCGAATCGTGTAGCTTCAAAACCTTTGCGAATCATTTGTTTCGAACCAGTGATTCGGAGTGCCAAAGTCACGTGATCTCAGCAAACGATGCTTCGTTACTGTTTCGAAATGTAAATTGTCAATGGTTGATTGTTGTTGTATAAATGTGAACAAGTTATGGTATTGTGTGTCTATAATTTCAATATGCTATGATAATTAATAAAATAATTTTAAAGTACGATAATTAATTTTGTAATCAACCAGTCAAATTTCACATTCATAAGTGTTCTCATGAGTCCTTTAAGAATTTGAAAATTACTTTTCTACTATTCAATCTAGTAATAAACTAAACTGTTCATTCATCTGTTCTTATGTTTTATTGTATTGTGTGTGTGTGTGTATTTTGTGTGTGTGTGTGTGTGTGTGTGTGTGTGTGTGTGTGTGTGTGTGTGTGTGTGTGTGTGTGTGTGTGTGTGTGTGTGTTATTTTTGTTCACCTGGCTCCAAAGTGTATGTTGAATTGTTTTGTTGTTTAAAGCATAATAATAATAATAATAATAATAATTATTATAATTCATAAATTCGTTGACTGTAAAAAGTTATAATTATTTATTATTATTATCTCCGATCAATTTTTGACACATTTGTTTAAGAAAAAATAAAGAGTTGTTATTAGTCTGTTATTGGTATGAATAAACAAAACTCTACATAAAACAAACAAAACAAGCCCTACAGTTTAATAAAATAAATATCAGAAATGTTTGAGCTGAGTTTTTGCTGCATTATCTCATTCTGACCAGCAGGGGTCACCAGCGTCTGTCGTTTTGAGCGCTTCGAATCAGTGAATCATTTTACGAAGCAATTGGTTCAATTGATTCAAAATGACGAAAAGCTTCGTTTCTCCCATCACTGCCGTCGATTTGTTGGTGTCATACTGCCACTATCTGGATTGGGGCAGTACTGCGCATTTATGTAGAATATTTGGCCCATTTGGTGCTGGTCTTACATTGTAATATGCATTTACCAACCATTTTTAATTGCAAGACTAAACGTTGATGAAAAAATAAAATAATCTCATAGATTAGTAAATTTTTGCTCATTGCACAGACTAAAGACGGTCTGATCTGAATATTAATTTTATGGAATCCTGTTACAATGATCATAACAATAATATTATTATTATAAATAATAATAATATTCAGATAGTAATCAGTAATTGCTGTGATGTAAGTACTGTTTACCAAACCACATTAACCTCAGTGTCATTTGCCATGAATGATTATCAGACATTAGTCTACATTGTTTGTTCCCTTTAAAATATCTATGAATTCACCATTTATTTTATTGTTCAATAATTATTTTCTGACATTCTGGCCTGGAGATTTATGAGAGAGGCAATGTGTGCAAATTTGAAATGTGTCAGTCTAAAAATAGAACAGTCTTAGAAATGCTGTCTCTCTGAGGGTTCCTCCTTTAAATCTCAACACCTCTTTTGTTTCCAATAATTTTCTCAGAAAAAAAAAATGCACTATGGTATTCTGTGCACATTGGGCTCCAAAAGTCTGGGGCCATTCATTGCATGCAAATGCATTCTCTCTCGCTCTCTCTTTCTAATGATATATATATATATATATATATATATATATATATATATATATATATATATATATATATATATATATATATATATATATATATTATATAAAAACGATATTCATGTTGTCCCGCATGACTTGAGATGATCCAAAAAGCAACGTGTGCTTCAGTGGAAGAAATCTGGTCATTTTTATAAAGAGTCCCACATGGTGTGCCACAAATTTGCTAAGGCAGAATCGTGAGTAGGCTATTCCTTCTTCATTTGATGGATTTTTTAAATATATTTTTGTTTGTTTATTCTGTAACATATCATTTATTCTAATGATTGTATTGGAAGTTTATAATCAACAAAGACAACCCCATCTGCGTTAGTTTCCCAAAGGTCTCAGAATGAGAGCATGAAGTTGAGATACAGTATGAGAGAGAAACTGGGGCTGTTACGTCACGCAGCAAAGTTTCAACAGAACCAAGATGGCGGAAGACAGCGGACCGAGGAGTCGGCATTTCTCAGCAAAGAACCACAAGTGCCACAACTTTGATGAAGGTGAATATCTCATTTCATGTCGTGAATTATCGAAACCCAGTTCTTCAAAGTCATTGTGTTACTTTCACTGTAAGTTTGTGTTTGTCTGTGTTTATTGACACGTTAAAAGTAAAAAAAACCGGGACTTGAACTCGTGTTATTTCTGGTCACGGTCAAATTTGACCAGGTGTGAATCAATTCGCGCCCGAAAGCAGATCGCATATGTATGGAGAGCTGCAATAGAGAGTTTGGCGAACATTTAGCTCTTGTTGACTCGCATTACTGGAATTAAAAGCCTCGTGAGACGCGCTTCAGAGAGTTGAGGTACCTGTCATTTTGACACCATAACGGTTTCATGAGTGAAATACACACTCTAAGCGCATGTTTATTGGTAAACTGCAGTGTTCTCGGTGAGTTCTTTGGTTATTTTTATGCTAGCTATTATTAGATGGCTTAATTTGCGACCGTGCAAACTTTGTAGCCAGGCTTTTTTTTCACTTCTTGCTTTGTCATGGCCGTTCAGTATGCGTTATGTGTTTAAATCCAATATAAATATTTTTTGTGAGTGAAGATGTATTTGATAGTCATTTTTAATTATGTTAGTATTTCACTGAGTTATGCAGTTGTTTTGTGATTGACGTCCTCGTGCACGCGCGTAGAAAGGAACCGGCACGATGTTTTCAAAGATTTCGTACAGGGAAAGTGTTTCATACTCGCATTGTATCAATATTAATCTCCAAACTAATTTTTTTGGCATGAGTTGTGCGTTTTGTTTGCTCCCTTAAGCTTAAGCTTTAGGGTGGTGGATGTCCTGTATGCCTGTGTGTTCAGTCTCAGAATTTACTAGAGTAATTTGCCATGTAAATTTACTTTACTTTGAGTTTCGCTGGTGTGTCTAGTAATGAACATCACACCATGTTGATTTACTGGACACAGGACAATTATATTAAGTTACTTTTTATCTGGGCAAACATAACAGGCTGTTAAAATCTGATAAGAAACTGATAGACATTTCCATGCTGGTAGTTATTGTGTTAGATAAAGGTCTGCCTGTCTGATTTGTACTTAAAGTTAGTAGTCTGCATCAATGAGGGGCCTTTCAATAGCTGATACCAATGTCTACTTTACATGTTAGTTGTTAAAATTCATTTTCACTTTAGAATTAATCGGAGGAAAAAATACATATTGCCGAAATATGCATGTTGGTAGCACTTTACAATAAGGTTTTGTTTATTAACATGAATTTTCAATAAACAATACTTCTACTATTCTTAATTAACAAGTTTATGAGTGACTCGTTAAAGGGATAGTTCACCCAAAAATTAGAATTGTGTCCTGAGTTTCTTTCTTCTTTCTCTTTTTTTTTCTTTCTTGGTAACTGTGTGGTGACCAACATTCTTCAAAATATCATTCTTCATAATACAAATAATAAAATTCTCATACAGAAAGAAATTCATACAGGTTTGGAACAACTTGAGGGTGTGTAAATTATGACAAATTCAGATTTTTGTCAATCATTCATTCAAATGGATTAAAAAAAAACCCATCTAATTAACCTCTAATAAATTCCCAAATTTTTTATATGCTTAATATTCTCAATTTATATATATAAAATAGTATGTGTATATAAAGCAGTATTGAATGAACTGTCCCCTGTCAAGTGTGTCCATGGTGTGTGTTAACTCACTCTAACACTGCTTGACTCTGATCCTGTGGCTCAGTTCATCTGGCCGTGAGCCTGAAGAGACTAAAGTGAAGGGGAGAGGGTGTTTGTTTTGTGTTACATATGTCTTAACTAGAGGACAAAAATGACCAAATTTAGCCCTGTGGCCGAAGGGATCTAGGCTTATCACAGCTCATGGATAAAGTGCAAGGGGTTAGAACAGAAACCCACACACTCCTGGAATAGAAAGTGACTACAGTAATGAGCTGCTAGTTGAGTGCTAAAAAGCAAAGTTGCGAATGTCAGAAAACCCATGTCTGACCATCAAGGACAGTGTTCAGTATGTGAATTTTTCTTATTCATGCATGGCCAATAACCCCTTGCACAATGTAAGCGAAGATGTGACGATTACTTTTGACTTTTTGGTGACAAATTTAAAGCTGCCTTTTATTTATATTTATATTTATATAAATAAAATATATACACTATACATTTATTAATATATTGTATATTAAATGTATTTTATAATATAGTATATATATATATATATATATATATATATATATATATATATATATGAAGAGTTCAGATGCAAAAGCCTCTAAATGCCATTTGAAATTTTCTTCTTTAATGATGATTTTTGTCAAGCTTGTATATTTATGTTCAGTAATTTCACTTAAATGGCAATGATAATTACCTATTATTTATTTTTATATTTTGTTTTTATTTAAATTGTTTTAATTTAGTAATTTCTTTATCTGCGTTTGTCTTTATTTTACTGCTCGCGTTTTATTTTTATGTTGTTCTTCATTTTAGTTGTTTTTTTTTAGGTAGTAATTTTATTACTTCAACTTTAAATGTAAGTTTCTTATTTCCATTAACTTTGTTTTTCACATACTATTTATGTTTAATTATTTTACCTTTATTTTAATTAACAAACATGTTTATAGTATTTTAGTTGTAGTAAATGATAATAACCCTAATGACTTTTTACTGTTTTTGTTATCCTACAGATATGACCGGTGTGGAAGATGTACGATTGTGCCGGCCGGTTGAGGCGTTGAGCTCATTGGAGGAGTTCAGCTCTGACACTTCTGGTGTGGCCCCATGTGCTGTAGCAGAAGAGCTTGAGCCGGAGGAGGACCCGGTTCCACAGGGGGCTCGACCCATTCAAATTGTGATCGCTAACGAGGACGATCATAAGTTTGAGTTGGATGCTGTTGCTTTGGAGAAAATCCTGATGCAGGAACATGTCAAGGATCTCAACGTGGTTGTGGTGTCTGTGGCCGGTGCCTTCCGCAAGGGAAAGTCCTTCCTGCTGGATTTCATGCTACGTTACATGCACAATCAGGTTAGAACGAACCCCCTTTCAAGGATGTAAGCATATGGCTAGTTGACAAATGGACACAAATTAGAATTTTAGATTAAATGTGTATATTTGTAAATGAGAACTTGTATAATTTTAGATGCTAAATTTGGTCATTGTTTTATTCCTTTTTTTCTCTGTTTTTTAATCTACTTTTGATTGATATAACTAGTGATACGGCAAAATAAAAATTCTGGGCTGAAACCGAAAATTCAGGATACACTTGGCTGAAAACAAAAATGTTATGAAAATAATGTATTTAATGTATTTAAAAAATGTATTTAATAATCAACTCTCAAATTGAACAAACTAAGTTGTACAAACATTTAAATGGCACATATGTGTTTTTTTATATAATATATGTGTGTATACATAATATATATATATATATATATATATATATATAATATACTAATAACTTGTTTTCATGACAGATTTATTCAAGTATAAAATAATGACATCACTAACAGGTTAAGTAAATATGTAATGAAAATGTAATATAGGTAAGGTAATTTATTAATAAAAGCTTAATTAAAAACAACGGGTTGTTGACCAATGTGCTCTACAATTTGTAGAAACATGCAAAGAGCGAAGAAACATTTATAAAGTGTAATACATATATGTAACAACTCTCACAAAACAAACAAGCTACTAACATATCAGCAAAAAATATAGTGCATATATTTATCAAAATGCTCCTCTCTAGAGTTATTTTTTTTCTAACTAACTAGTTAATGGTCATTGAATAGCTTTCAATATATAAACAGGAAACAAGCTGTTCAAATTGTTGATGATTTCCCCCGTTTGAAACACCGATTGAACGGTTACATGAGACATGATACATTTCAGTAAGTTGTACTGTTTCTTTCAACATACCTTCTGATGTTCATTCATTTTTATTTCATACTGTAAGTAGTAGTAAACAGGAAGAGATGATTGGTTCATGTGCGGCTTTAACTGAGGCGCTACAGTGATCCGTCACAGCATATGAAAGAGTGACAAAACAGCTTTTGTTCTTTGAATTTCATGAAAAAATTGAGAGAATTTGAAAGTTGTGCATTGTTGCATTTAATATGAAACAAAGTCTCGAAGCTTATTTTCCCTTATCTGTGAGGACTGTAAAATAACAGGTCATCTACCCTAATGCATTCAAATATCTAAGACATGAGAGCTCCAACACATCAGTTAAAAAATCTGAATCTTTATTCCTGAGAACAAGTTCGTGATGACTCCTATCCTGACATGTCTAAACGTGTGGGCTGCGTTTAAAACCAGCTAGGTCACATGTGCGTGAGCATGCATGCGTTATGGGACATTCATATGAACAATCCCTTTCATTTCTTTGTAGTCATCTGAGTCATGGATGGGAGGAGATGATGAGCCGTTGACTGGTTTCTCCTGGAGGGGAGGCTGTGAGAGAGAGACCACAGGAATCCAGGCCTGGAGTGAGGTGTTTGTTGTGGAAAAGGAAGATGGAACTAAGGTGAATGGGTTGCTCAGTTGAAGATATGTATTATGTCACTGTCAAGATATGTTGACTGTGTGATAAGACTAATCTATGTGTGTTCTTAGGTGGCTGTGCTGCTGGTGGACACTCAGGGAGCCTTTGACAGTCAGTCCACCATCAAAGACTGTGCCACTGTTTTTGCTCTAAGCACCATGACCAGCTCTGTGCAGGTATGTAGAAGCACTTTAGTGAGGCACATGGATTAGTAAAGGTTGAGATTACATGGGGCTTTGCCATACATCGTGGTCTATTAAATTATGTGACCCAACAGCCTTGTTTGTTTTAGGTTTATAATCTTTCTCAGAATATCCAAGAAGATGATTTGCAGCATCTCCAGGTAGCAGCAGCTTTCTTTATTGGTGTATGTTTATTGATGTGTTAATAGTGTAATTTTGGACAGTAACATCATGTGTCTTTTATAGCTTTTCACTGAATACGGTCGACTTGCAATGGAGGAGATCTATGAGAAACCATTTCAGGTAGACAAGCTATTTCCATACCGAGTACTTTTCACAGACACAAATTAACCTGCGCTCAGGGAAAAAAGTGCCGCAGATGCCACAGATATTCAAAATGTTTCAGAGGCCACTTTAAAGCCTTTATAGACCATTTCACAAGATGTAAACAACACTGGTCCAGAAACACTTCCTGTTTCAGTTTGTAACTGTTTTCTTTATTTCACATGTAAAGAAAACATCTTAAAGATGTTTGTTTAAATTTTTGATTCAGTTTTAAATGTTCTGTTGGTTGTATTTTATCCCAGCTTTTATGTAGTGTTAAAAAACTGAAACAGGAAGTGCTTCTGGACCAGTGTTGTTTACATCTTGTGAAATGGTCTATTGAAGGATCATATAATTTGTTTTGATGTATTGTATGGAATGTATTTGTGCTGTGTTCTCTGTGTATCTCAGGGGCATCACTAGGCCCATTTTAGGAGGCCTTTAGCCCCCCAAAATTTGCGATTTTCTTCAATAATATGTGCACTAATTCGTGATCGCCTCAGTCCCCTTTAAAACTCGTATGAAAACGCGGCAGGCTTGGCTCCTCCCCGTATTTTAGTCCATGTTATTTAGCATGTTCTTCAATCCGCAGCAGCGCGGCGCCAACGTCAGAAGCAGAGGACAAGGTGTGTGCATTTATTGATCGATTGTCATGACGTATATAATTGTAGTACTTTGTCATAAATGCAGTTTACATAATATGATGCGGGAGCAACACAAGACGGTTTCCTACCCTTTTTTTTTTTTATTATTATCATTTGTATGTATATAAATGTTCCTTTCATTTAAATGGCATGAGACTTTGAAACTTGTTTTTTTTTTTTTTACGTTTTACTGCACAAATGTAAGTTGAAAAAATAAAAGGGCATAATAGGACCCCTTTAATAATTTTATTCAGCAAGGACTTAATTAAATTGATCAAAAGTGACATTAAACACATTGGGCATGTTGCACAAGCTATTGTCTATTTCTCAAAGAATCCTTAAAATATTTCCACAACAATATCAAGAAGCACAACTATTTTCAACATTGATGATAAATGTTTCTTAAACAGCAAAACATCATATGAAAGGATCATGTGACACTCAAGACTGGAATAATAATGCTGAAAATTCACCTTTGCGTCAAGAATAAATTTCAGTTTAAAATATATTAAACTAGACAAAAAATATTTTAAATTGTAATATTTCATATTTTTTTTAATCAAATAAATGCATTCATGGTGAGCATAACAGATGTCTTAAAAAAAAGTAATTAAAGATTATTCAGAAAATCTAATAATGTTAAAATGGCACAATTCTTTTCATACCAGAATAATTCACTATGAAATATTAAAATGAATATTTTTCCAGAATTATTTTATGGAAGTCAATATTTTCTTTATTCACTGAAAAATTTTTGAATGATAAATTGGGCATCAATTACACCATCATCTGTATTTTTGTTTTTCTAAATTTGAGATTCACTTATTTTCTTTTCTTTCTTTTTTTTTGCAGAAACTATTGTTTTTGATCAGAGACTGGTGTTTCCCTTACGAGCATAACTATGGGCTCAAAGGAGGGTATCACTTCCTGGAGAGGAGACTACAGGTGAGATGAAGCAGAGAATAGATGGACACGGCATCGGCATGTTGATCAATTTGTGAATGTTTTATTTGTGCTATGCAGGTGAAGCAGAATCAACACGAAGAGCTGCAGAATGTTAGGAAGCATATTCACAGCTGTTTCTCCAGCATAGACTGCTTTCTGCTGCCACATCCAGGTCTGAAGGTGGCCACCAACCCTCACTTTGATGGCAGACTGAAAGGTCAGGACAGATTTCTCTTAGATACCGGCATGCTCATGAACGTCCAAACTCTAGGCTCATCATGAAGAACTTGTTTTCTTTTTTTGCAGACATTGATGATGCGTTTAAGGAGGAGCTGCAGAATCTAGTGCCTTTACTGCTGGCACCAGAAAACTTGGTAGAGAAAGAGATCAGTGGAGCTAAAGTCACATGCAGAGACCTGCTGGAGTACTTCAAGGTCAGATCTGATTACTTTAGCTGCACTAACAGCTGTAAACACAAATCAGATTAGATATAAATTGTGTCAGCAGTTAAATCGAAGAAGCTCAAGTGTCCCTGTAAAATTTGTGTGGCAAATGATTAAGTCTTAATAAGGGAAGAGACCTCTGTTTTATTGAAGGGAAAGTTCACGCAAAAATGTAATTTCTGTCATTAATAACTCACCCTCATGTCATGTCGTTCAAAACCTAAAGAAAAATAACGACTTCATTCAGCAATTTCTTATTTTCCTTTTTTTGCGCACAAAAAGTATTCTCGTTGCTTCATAACATTAAGGTTGAACGACTGTAAGCCCCCCCTGAGAGATTTTGCAGGAGCCGCCACTGGTTTGGAATAACATGAGGGTGAATAAATGATAACAAAATTTTCATTTTTTGGCTAAACTAATCCTTTAAGTAAATGATTAATCACGCTTAACAATTCTTGTGTCGAGTAATATAGTTCATTAGCATGACAGTGGCCTGTTTACAGCTGTCAATCAACATGAATGCATTCATATAGACTTCAGTTGGTGTGAGGTCACAGGTGTGCCTTTTTTTACAGTGCCATTGAACATGCCTTATCTATGGAAGCTTGTTTCCGCCATAGAATGAAAAATATAAAAGGTACTTGCGACTTTATCTCAAAATTCAGACTTTTTTTCTCACAATTGCGAATTACTTCTTGCAATTCTGACATTATTTCTCAGAATTGCAAGATGGAAAGTCAGAATTGCGAGGTATAAAGTCAGAATTGCGAGGTATAAAGTCAGAATTGCATGATATAAAGTCGCAATTGCGAGATATAAAGTCAGAATTGAGTGATATAAAGTTAGAATTGCGTGATATAAAGTCAGATTTGTGTGATATAAAGTCAGAATTGCGAGATTTAAACTATTCTGAGGGGGGAAATAGTCTTTTTTTCCCCTTAGAATTGGCCTGATAAGTTGCAATTTCGAGTTTATATCTCACAATTCTGAGAAAGATGTCAGAATTTCGACATATAAACTCACAATTATGTGATATAAAGTCAGAATTGTGACTTTATATCACGCAATTCTGACTTTATATCACGCAATTCTGACTTAATATCACGCAATTCTGAGAAATAAAGTCAGAATTGCAAGATATAAACTCGCAATTGTGAGAAAAAAAGTCACAATTATTATTTTTATTTTTTTATTCAGTGGCGGAAACAAGCTTCCATACTTATCCAATCAGGTTGTAGATCCATAACTTGTTCTGCTTTATGAACATCCAGTAAAACACCCATGTTTATATTCCTTTGTTTGTAGGCCTATATCAAAATCTATCAAGGGGAAGAGCTTCCACATCCTAAATCCATGGTGCAGGTAGGTTCCTCTCCATCTTTAAAGTCACCTGTAGTACTGTTTTGGGTTGGTGAAAAACCTTTCTCTATATATATATTTGATCAAAAATACTGTAATAATTTTGGAAACGGTTGTTCTGCTTAATGTTTTTGTGGAAACCATGAAACATTTTCCCCCTAGGATTCTTTGATGTATACTAAGTTAAAAAGAACAGGGTTTAAAAAAAAATCATACTGACCCCAAAACATGGTTGTTAATATGGAAGGTATTAAATGCTCACTGTGCCTCTTTTACTCAGGCAACTGCTGAAGCGAACAACTTGACAGCTGTCGCTGCAGCGAAAGACACTTATAACAGAGCCATGGAGCAGGTAGAGTTACTTTCAGACACTATTATTTCTTCTATTTGACAGCACGAATGCAGACAAAAAGGAAAGAGTGTGAGCAAATGCATCCTGCATATCAAGTGCATTCAGTCAAGATTCTTCACTACTAAATGGTTCATAGATCGAGAGGGACCTAAATTCAATTTAAATATAGCAGGATCGTGACGTGAGATGAGCTAGCCTATATAACTGAAAATAACTTGAGGCCATTGCACTAAAATAGTAGGTTTGGCCTAGATAACTCGAAGAAAATGCTTGTTATGGTTTAGCTAAATCTACGCCTGATAGATTAGGAAATGTGTCTGAACTTATAATTTTGTTGTGTGTGTCACAGGTCTGTGGAGGAGACAAACCATACATCGCCCCAGTTGACCACCAGCGCTATCACGAAGAGTTTAAGAAAACCTCTGTTGAGAAGTTTTGCGCTGTGAAGAAAATGGGCGGTGTGGATTTCTGTCAGCGCTACCAGCAGCAGTTAGAGACGGAGCTGGATGAAGCGTACACAAATTTTGTGAAACACAATGAAAGCAAGAACATTTTCTATGCAGCGAGAACTCCGGCCACTCTGTTTGCTGTCATGTTTGCCACCTACATGGTCTCCACTGTAACGGGCTTCATTGGTTTATCAGTAATCGCGGCTCTGGCCAGTCTTGTGATGGGCGTGGCTCTGCTCTCGTTGTGTGCCTGGGCGTATGTCAGATACTCAGGAGAGTATCGGGAAGTGGGCGTGGCTATAGACCTCATAGCAGAGGCCCTGTGGGAACAGGTGAGTTGTGCTTCCACATGTTGGCTGGGTCCATCTATGTTCTCTCCACTGCCCCACACATTGCTGTTTCAGTTGCTTTCCGGTCTTCTTTTGTGTTCATCTCATCATAAATCATTCTCTTTTAGTCTTGTCCTAACCCATGTTACTAAAGGTGAAATGGTAATCTCTTTTCCCATTTCCTGGAAACTTTTTTGTAAGCCCCCCCTGAGATAATGTGAGGCCCATCAAGCTCCTCTTTTGCTTAGCTTACTCATAGAGTTCAGGGAAGAGAGGTTCCTCCAATCAAATTTTTGTCATAGGACCGTTGAATTTTAGAGCCAGTCCTGATTCTAATGCCTGATTTGCATCCGGTGTTCTAATGGGATTGTCTAGATAGTGCTTGATTTATATGTGAATCTACATTATTCTTATATGTTATATAGTATACATTTTGAAGTGCTTTTGATTTCTGCATTGTTCTAGGTTTAGATTAAAATACTATATTTGACCCTGGACCACAAAACCAGTCATAAGTCGCACAGGTATATTTGTGGCAATCAGGGCCTGAAGTAAATTTTTTCAGCCACCGGACACTGTGGCAGACTTTTTACCAGCCATTTTTTTTTTTTGCTTCATAAACGTAAAAAAAAACCCTGGGAATTTCACAATATTGTTCTTTAACTTGTAAGAATACACATTTAAGTGCTGTCAAGTAATAATAACTCTAATAACATACATTTTTTAAAAATCTTTTTATTCATTGATTTTGACACACACACAACATATATAGTATAGGCTATAATATAGTATATACTCAACAGATAGACCTACCGCAGCTCGTAAACAAATCACACACGGCTGTGTTGATGGCGGATTTAGTCACGTAGACAGGTCTTACTCTTAACAGCTTTTAGTTACAGCGCTCAGGAATGGTTAAATATGAACTAAATTAATACTGTTATTACTGATAAAATTACAGGGTACTGGACATTTTCTCACCGGTTCCCAACTCCCAACATGCACAGCTGCACACCCACTAGTGGACTTCGTTGAAATGTAAAAATCCTAATGAATCACTCACAATTCTCATTGGCTACCTGCCAATGTGGCAGGTAGATTGACAGTGTTACCCGCCAATAGCAAAATTCAGCCGCATTTGGCAGGTGGTCGGGTGTTAATTTCAGGCCCTGGTGGCAATAGCCAACAATACATTGTATGGGTCAAAATGATAGATTTTAATTTTATGCCAAAAATCATTAGGATATTAAGTAAAGATCATGTTCCATGAAGATATTTTGTAAAAATCCTACCGTAAATGTTTATTAAAAGAAAAAATGTGTGGATGCTGCAACATCAAGGACTTCATAAAGGCTTATTTGTTCAGCTTTCAGATGTTTGACCCTTATAAATGATTTTGTGGTCCAGGGTCAAATATAGTATTTTAGCATTTCAATTGGTTTTATTTATGTATTATTACTATAGGTCTTGCGTTTTTAAAAACATAGCTCATTATCCCGTTAACAAGGGACACGCGTTATTCCACACCCATATGATCTTCAAAACAGAAATTAAAATATTTTAAATGAAACTTGAGAGATTTTTGTCCCTCTATTGAAAGTGTATTTCACCAAAATTTGAAAGTAATCCATATATTAAAGGGTTAGTTCACCCAAAAATGAAAATTAAGTCATTAATTACTCACCCCCATGCTGTACCAACCCCGTAAGACCTTCGTTCGTCTTCGGAACACAAATAAAGATATTTTTGATTAAATTTGAGAGCTGTATAACTACCACATTGGCTCCTAAGGGACTGCCTCTTGACGGCCCAGAAAGTCAATGAAGAAAATGTTTAAATATCCCAAGTGACTACCGTGGCTCAACTATATGTTTATCAAGCGACGCGAATACTTTTTGTGCGAAAAAACAAACAAAAATAACGAGTTTATTCGACTATTTCTTTTCTTCCTTGTAGGCCAGAACGAGACTTCCTTAGATTTCCACGACGCATGCGTGAGATTTGCGATCTGCTTACACCAGGTTACACTACTTCAGATCGCAATTCTCGCGCATGCGTCGTGGAAATCTAAGGAAGTCTCGTTCTGGCCTACAAGGAAGAAAAGAAATAGTCGAATAAACTCGTTATTTTTGTTTGTTTTTTCGCACAAAAAGTATTCGCGTCGCTTGATAAACATATAGTTGAGCCACGGTAGTCACTTGGGATATTTAAACATTTTCTTCATTGACTTTTTGGGCCGTCAAGAGGCAGTCCCTTAGGAGCCAATGTGGTAGTTATACAGCTCTCAAATTTAATCAAAAATATCTTCATTTGTGTTCCGAAGACAAACGAAGGTCTTACGGGGTTGGTACAGCATGGGGGTGAGTAATTAATGACTTAATTTTCATTTTTGGGTGAACTAACCCTTTAATGTATAATTTTGAATGATAAACAAGATTAATTTAGGCTTTAATTCGCATACAAGCATTGGTCAGCATGCGTAGTAGATCACATCAAATATGGTAAACGGAAGCTCATAACAGGAAGTGCTTCTGGACCAGTGTTGTTTACATCTTGTGAAATGGTCTATATGTTTGCTTCATGAACCTAATGAGGCTTGTACTTGTTTCCGATAAGCACATTTAAAGGGCTAGTTTAAAGGGGTCATGAACTGGCTTTTAAAATGTTATTATATTGTTGTCTGAGGTCAACTTAAGACGTTCGCTTGGTTTTTGCATTCAAAAACATCAAAATGAATAAGTAATAGGCTATTTTGTACCCAAGTTGTGACCCTTCCTGAAAAACGGTCGGTTTTTATGGGCGTGTCGCACTGAAGACTTGGAAATAAACGCCCACTGCTGTGAGTGGATAACAGTTTTGCATATTATAATGAGTTTCACTCACCCGTCGGTGAATGTGGGGGAAAACGTCCAATGTTGTCAAATGGCAACCGGATTCGCCCATACATGTTCGACCCAGAGTCCGTGTGTTGCACAATTCCTGTCAGATCCAATATAGATGGCACAGCACCGTTCTTTACTCTTAATCGGTCTGCAAATCCAGTCTTGTTTACAAAACAATCCTCAGTGAAATGAAGCGAACAGACGACGATGTTTTACCCTCATCAGCTGGAACATCATTAAAAATAAAGTTTATCCATGAAGTCCTATTGGAATCCAGAGGAAGCTATTGTAGCGACTGTCTTTTTCCACAACCAGGCACTGCAAAATATTCTGTATTGCTCGGTAGAACGATCCGGTTTCATCACGAGGTAGGCATGTAAGTTAGGCTACTTAGCTATGCGTGTAATGCGCGAATCGGTGGGCGGAGCTAAACTGGCCGTGTTGAAGTAGGTGTTGATCTTTTTCTGCGGGGGTGGTGTTTTAACCCATTCGACGTCATAGTTTCCCACTTTTCAAAACGAGACGTTTTCAGAGGCTGGTGTAAATGAAAGCTTTTATTGGACTAACAAGGACGTTTTCAGTTCTGAAACTTACAGGATATTCTTATAATATGCTGGCCTCTTAGATATCAAAAGCTCAAGGAAAAGTTGATTTCTCAGTTCATCACCCCTTTAAATTGTCCAATAATTTACTCACCATCAAGCCATCTTAGGTGAATATGACTTACTACTTTCAGCCAAACATAATCAGATTTTTATTAAAAATATCCTGGCTCTTCCCGCCTGCAATCTATTGAATGGGGATTTGGGTAGTGTATTTTTTTGGACATTTTAATTAAAGTTTCTTTCATGATAACTATTTTACTGCACTCAGGGTACTGCACCCTGAGTCCGCGGCACCAAGGGCCATCCCGAAATTCGACCGTCCACGAACCCACTATTTTTATAATGGCATAAATGCTACGTGGGATCTCAATATCTCAGCTCTGGAAGGGTCTAGAGACTCTTCGAAGACACTTTAGAAGACACGCTCTAGACCTTTCCTGAGCTGAGATATTGTAATCCCACTCAGAATTTATCCCATTATAAACCGCTATTTTTATAATGGGATAAATGCTACGCGGGATGTCCATATCTCAGCTCTGGAAGGGTCTAGAGCCTCCATTTTTGCACTCAGGTCTAAGTCTCATGGCCCTCTATCAGAATCCAGAGTTTTGGGAAGATTGGAGAAACTTAATTTTTCGCCCAAAAAAAAAAACGAAAGGGGTACCACTGTCGTTTTTTTTTCGGGTCGAAATTTAGAGTTTCGATATCTCAGCTCTGGAAGGGTCTAGAGCCTCCATTTTTGCACTCAGGTCTAAGTCTCATGGCTCTCTATCAGAATCCAGAGTTTTGAGAAGATTGGAGAAAGAACCCTTTTGTCACAGTGTTACCCCTTTCGTTTTTTTTTCGTTTTTCGGGCGAAAAATTAAGTTTCTCCAATCTTCTCAAAACTCTGGATTATGATAGAGGGCTGTGAGCCTTTGACCTGAGTGCAAAAATGGATGATCTAGACCCTTCCAGAGCTGAGATATCGAAATTCAAAATTTCGACCCGAAAAAAAAAACGACAGTGTTACCCCTTTTGTTTTTTTTTTCATTTTCGGGCAAAAAATTAAGTTTCTCCAATCTTCTCAAAACTCTGGATTATGATAGAGGGCTGTGAGACTTTGACCTGAGTGCAAAAATGGATGATCTAGACCCTTCCAGAGCTGAGATATCGAAATTCAAAATTTCGACCCGAAAAAAAAACGACAGTGTTACCCCTTTTGTTTTTTTTCATTTTCGGGCAAAAAATTCAGTTTCTCCAATCTTCTCAAAACTCTGGATTATGATAGAGGGCTGTGAGACTTTGACCTGAGTGCAAAAATGGATGATCTAGACCCTTCCAGAGCTGAGATATCAAAATTCAAAATTTCGACCCGAAAAAAAAAAACGACAGTGTTACCCCTTTTGTTTTTTTTTATTTTCGGGCAAAAAATTAAGTTTCTCCAATCTTTTCTTAAAACTCTGGATTATGATAGAGGGCTGTGAGACTTTGACCTGAGTGCAAAAATGGATGATCTAGACCCTTCCAGAGCTGAGATATCGAAATTCAAAATTTCGACCCGAAAAAAAACGACAGTGTTACCCCTTTCGTATTTTTTCGTTTTCGGGCGAAAAATTAAGTTTCTCCAATCTTCTCAAAACTCTGGATTATGATAGAGGGCTGTGAGACTTTGACCTAAGTGCAAAAATGGATGATCTAGACCCTTCCAGAGCTGAGATATCGAAATTCAAAATTTCGACTCGAAAAAAAAACGACAGTGTTACCCCTTTTGTTTTTTTTCATTTTCGGGCGAAAAATTAAGTTTCTCCAATCTTCTCAAAACTCTGGATTATGATAGAGGGCTGTGAGACTTTGACCTGAGTGCAAAAATGGATGATCTAGACCCTTCCAGAGCTGAGATATCAAAGTTCAAAATTTTGACCTAAA